AAGGGGGCTGACGCATTGCAAACCTCCTTCTGCTCACAGACAGGGGCAGGATGCACAGCTCCCACCCACTCTGAATAAAACAAGAGAGCCATCAAAGCGGGGCAAGGAGACGGACAAGGGCCAGGCACCAGGAGCAGCCTGCCCCCCAGCGTGGGGAGGAGGAGAGGAAGACCGCTCTCCCCTCCGAGGCTGCCTCAGCTCCAAGGGAGGCCCGACCCACGTGCGTGCGCCCGTCCCGGAGGTGCCTGGCAGAGTGTGGGCTCTGTAGCCGCACAAAGAGAGGTTTAATCTGGGATCTAACACCCCAGGTATGGCCTTGAACGAGTTAATTAAACTCAGCTTTGGTTTCCTTATCTATAAAATGAGGGGGAAGGATTTACTTCACAAGGCCATTATAAGGAATAAGGGATAATATGAAAAGCACACAGTAGGACTTCAATATGAAGGAATTTTGATGCGCTCCCACAAGCGCTCCTCACCCATGCTTGGCAGCGAGGGCATCTCAAAACCCACTAGATCCGGCCCCTGAGCCCCCAGCCTCTGTGTCTGCCAGGAAGGGCCTGGCTTGGAAGTGACCGGCCGCCCCATGCTCGCGCCTTGCCTCTGTGTGACCCTGGCCCCTCCAGGAGTCCGCCTGGTGTGGAGTTCCCAGATGTGTGGTCCACAGACCTGTAAGGCCGTGTTCAAAATCAGAAACAAACACAGGGCTGCAACCCTTTTCATCTGCCAAGTAAAGTCCTTTAAAAAAAAAAAGCCACTTCTGAGCACCATCACATCATCCAAGAAAAACCATCCGATACTAAAAAATGTGGAAAGACAGAATTTCGAAATAAAGGATTGTTTTTAAAATGGGAATGCGTTTACCTTTACGGGATGCTCACTCCCTTTTCTCCCTAGTCCCCTTCCACTCTGGACCGGGAGAGATCTGTCCCAGTCCAGCATCAGTCCCTGGGGGCTTGTGGGGTCCCTGGACAGGGCAGGGGAGGGGTGCGCGTGTTCGTACAGGCTTTGAGGTCAGTCGGCTCCCACAACTACCAGCAAGATCTTTAACCTGTCTAAAACTCAATTCCCCATCCATGAAGGGGGACAATTACAGAGCTGATCTCAGGGCTTGTTGCACAGATTAAACTAGAGAATGCATATGAAGTAGTTAGCACGAGGGCACCACAAATGATCTGTGTTATTTCCAGCCTCAGAAATGCGGCCACCTCAGGCTAGTGTCCCCTCCTCACTGCCCGCAAGAGCCCCGGATCCTTCTCCCTGGAGTGCCAGCTTCTTCCACTCTGCTTTCTTCCCAGCCCCAGAGCTTCCGAGATCTCCAGCCCGCAGGGGCTGCTCAGTGTCCCCTCCTGGGCCTGCCGAGACCCAGTCCTCTCCAGGAGAGGTCCCCGAGGAGGCGGAAGGCCAGGACAAGAATCGGAGCAGCTGGAGTGAGAAGACAGAGAAGCATAAAGAAGAACTGCAAGGAGACACGGACGACCCACCTGCCGCCCCTCCACGTGCAGCCACCAGGTCCTGATGGCAAGCGTTGCTGAGCCCTGCTCCCTGTGCCAGACACCGGTCCATGCACTAGGCGCACGCAGCACAATGCATTGCCATCCCAGCCCTGGGAGGTGCGATTTCTGTCCTCGCTGCACAGGCGAGCAGAGTGAGGCCCGGCGAAGGTGCACACCTTGCTCAAGCTGACATGACACGTCTACCAAGGGGCCAAGGGGGTGTAACCAGGGAGCGACTAGCCTGGGGCCTCGGAGGTAGACCGTGCCTTTCCCACACTCTAGCACTTGCATCAAACCAATCAACTGATCAGAGTCAAGGGCACTCACCGAGTGGGCAGCACTGGCATCAGAGGCTGAGGGGATGGAGGAGAAATTAAGACCTGGTCCCCAAGGGTACAAAGGCCAGAGGAGCTTCCGTCAGAGCACCGGGCTCTCGTGGCAAAGGGTGAGAGCCGGCCAGTGCTGGCTTCCTGGTCCCCGCCCCACCAGAGAACCAGGCAGAGCAAGACAACCACAAGCCAGGGGCCTGGTAACCAGCATAAGGTGGGAGCGAAGGCCTCCACGCCTCCTCCTTCTGATCCGAGACTCTCTGAGGTCCAGGAGCAATGCCAGGCGCGGAGCATGGGTTCACAGGCTCCCTTTAGCTCTGAGTGGAAGTAGAGCCCAATCAAGGTCAGAGGGGGACCTGGCGTCCTGATTTCTGCCATGTCTCCCCAGCCTCTTCCCCAGCCTCAAGGCCTGCTCTGGGCTGGGCAGACACAGGTGGGGCATCTGCAGCCCGTGTGCAGCGGGGAGGGGAGAGCAGATCCCAACTACGATCCTTCCACACTCCCGTTCTCTGCCAGGACGGAGCTGTACTCAGGCCGTCCAATCCTGGGGATTTAGGAGGCTCTTGGCTCTTCCCTTGGCTCCTCAGCCCCCTGCTAAGCCATGGCAGGGGTACCTGGGGACCGCTGGGGGCTGGAGGGACAGATTTTTCTCCTACCCCCACCTCCATCCCCCAGAGGCAGCTCCCGCCCCGAGCCAGCCTGTCATCCCACATTGCTCTGATTAGCTATAATCTTTCTTTTTCAATTTCTCCTCCCAGAGACTGGGGAGCGAAAAAATCTCCCAGAAAATGAATAAATATTTCAATTTTCAGCGCAATCAGTCTGAGGAGCCGGCGCATGATGGAAACGGGGGGAAGGATAATGGTTTTCATTTAGATAAGATACAGAAAATTATTTAGTGAAAAATGAAGATTGATGAAGCCCATTGAAATTCTTTAAAATGCAATTTTTATTTCTCTGCCTGGGCTGAATCTCTCCTTCCCCCCCTCCTCTCTGCCCCCCCTCAATTTGACTGCCTTCTGCCACCTTCTTCCCTCTTCCCCACCACCAGCCTCCCCCCCCACCCCCCCCACCATACCCCCTCCCCTATTTCGTCTCCCACTACCCCAGTCCCTGGCCTGGAACTCTTTCTTTTTAAGGATGGAGGCCAAGGAAGGTCACCTACCCTGTGAGTGTCCCAGTCTCCATCCTTGGTCCCTGCTCCTTCCCTCCCTGTCGGCTCCCCAGTCCCTCCCAGGAACCTAGGCTGGACTTCCTCTTCCCTCCCTGTCCATTTTCCCCCTTCCTTTCCTTTGGCACCCCTCCCCCACCCAAATACTCGCACACTCCTTAGGGTCTCGGGTCTTGCTTTCAGCCTCCTGGAGGGCAAGGAGGTGGGAGCTTGACTGACCCGACCCTCGACCCTCCCCCTCCCCCTTCCCAAAGGGAGGAAGGCACACAGCACACTCCTCTCTTTCTGACCGATTCTGTTCCCGATTCAATCCACATGTCTCTCCTGTTTGCTAACTGCAGCTTTTGTTCCTTGAAGCTCATTTTGTTCCATATTGCTGACATGCTGGGGCTGCAGGAAAGGGGCAGACATAAGCTTGCCCCCAACACACGCTGCTACTGACCCAGCAGCCCCCCCTCACCCCCCTAGCAGGCAGCTGAACAAAGTCAGAACTTGCGTCCTCTTCCCAACTTTCTGCCAAGCGGCTGCTTGTCCTGCCAACCCCAGGGCCAGGCCTCCTTCCCCAGCACCGCCTCTCACCCCGCTCACACTGGGGATGCGCGCCCTTCCCAGATCTTAAGCCTGTGTTGGGGGGCATGGGTGACTTTACAGGAAAGATCCAGACCAGCCCCCCACCAACTCAGCCAGGCTTTGCCTTGGGAGCTGGGGAGGGGCCTGGTAAGGAGAGGAGGTGTCGAGCACAACACCCCACCCCTAAACACACACACACACACCGCAGCCCAGGAAGGGAACTAAGAACAGGGCAATACCTGAGGGTGTTCTACCCCAAGTGGACTTCCCTCCACCCAGATTCCGCTCCACCCAAAAGGGGACCACCTCCTCCATGATGTAGTCTGTCCACCTCCGTAGGTGTCTGCCTGTATGAACGTCTGTTCAAGTTTCTTTGTTTGCTGGAGGGTTGGTCTCTGTAGAAGGGTTTCAGTGTGTGTGTTGCGTCCTTGTAAATGCCCGCCCGCATACATGCACTGTGTCTGGGTGAGTTTTGATGTGTTTGGGTGCATGAACGTGCAAGCCGACGTGGGGGAGGAACCTGTGTTCCTCCGGGTGTCAATGCCTTTGTGTGTATGTGTCTGTCTCCGTTTGGGGGATGCTTGTGGGTATATCTGTCTCAGTAGGTGAGTCGTCTGTCTCGGTGTCTGTGACTGTTTTTTGGTGTTTGTGTGTCAGCTCCATTTTTGGAAGGGGGCGGCTAGCTCGGCAGGATTAACTCTTCCTTGGAGTGAGACTCAGGAGGCCAGAATGCACACCCACAGAGCCCAGGGCTGGCTGAAGCCTGGGCCCTCTGTTTCCTCAGCTCCCCCCCAACCCCCAGCCTCAGGATACACTAACGTCCTCACCTCTCTCAACCTCTCCCTCATTTCCCAGCTTCTCCCCTGCCAGTTCCACATACGCCCCGACGTCCACACTTTCCCGCCCCCAAGTGGGATGTGAAGCCCCCCTCCAAGTGCCCCCCTGAATATCCAGCCGGCCCGAAGCTGCCTGTGGAAGTCCGCTCCCCAGCCGGCGCCTCCGCGAGCAGGGGTCCCGCCAGAGGCCCCCAGGCAGCCCCCTCCCCGTTTCCAGAGGGGGCGGCCCAGACAGGCTGGAGCGCCCCACCCCCCCAACCAGGGGCTAGGCTGGAGTCGGGATTCCCTTCGTGGCATCTTCGGGAGCCGGGTCCCACCCCAAATCTGAGATCCCACCCTCCTCCAGCCCTCATCACCCCCTCCGCCCCCCTCGCGCAGGACCCGGGCGTGCGGACCCCCGGCCTCGGCGGGCAGAGGCCGGGAGGGCGCCCGAGGCTCGCTCGGAGGGCGCCGCGTGCGCGTTCGGGTCCCGCGACGGCCCGACCCCAGCGCTCGCGGCCGGGGACAAGTTGGGCGCATCCGCGGGAAAGTCGGGCCCGCGCCCGGGGTCGGGGGGGGGCTGCCCGGCGAGGCGCCGAGAGCAGGCGGCGGGGCTTACCTTGGGAGAAAGTGTCGGAGAGGGTGAGGATCCAGACGAGGAGGCTCAGCATGCTGCCCGCCGCCCGCCGCGCCGGGGCTCCGAGTTGGCGACGGAGCGGGGCGCGGGCGGGAGGGGGGAGCGGGGCCGGAGCCCGCCCCCGGCCCTGCACACGCGCGTGCACACGCGCGCACACACTCGCACGCGCGCACCCCGCGCGACAAACTCACTTCCCCGCCCCGCGCTCTCCCGCGCCCTCGGCCCCCAGCCGCGGCCCCCGCCCTCCCCGCCCCCCGGCCCCCGCCGTCCCGCCCCCGCCCGGTGCCGCCGCTCGCCCAGCTCGCGCTCTCCGGGGCCCTTCCGCTCTCCGCTCCTCCGGGCCCTCCCCTCCCCCCTCCTCCCCGCCCCTCCTGACGTCTCCTCCCCCAGCCCTCCCCCGGCCCTCAGGCCCCCGGCGCGCACGCACACCCCTCGCCGGGTGAGATGCCCGCGGCGCGGACCCGGCTTGGGGGCAGGGCAGGGACCGGCCACCGCGCCCCAGCCGTCACACACGCGCAGCTTGGGGCCCGCGCCGCCGAGGGGGCGGCGGGCTGCGGGCGCGGCCGGGCGAGGACCTGCCCCTGGGCCGGGGGATGGCCGTGATGGGGGGGCGCCGTGAGAGTGCCTGTGTGTGTCTGCGTGTGAGTATGGGGAGGGGGACGCGGGGGCAGGTGGTGGGCCCGGGAGTCCAAAAGCACAAAATCCCCGGGTTCTTTCCCTGTTAATCCCACATCCAGAACCTAACCCCTGGATTCCCGAAATTGGGAGTTCTCGATGGACTACTGAATGCTGGGGTGGGGGCGCGACGTGCGCCTCTCCCCACCTACAAAACCCGGAGCTGGGCGCTGGGAGCCGCTTCTCAGAGCCGCCTGGAGCCCCTGCCCGGGCCGCCCCCAGCACACAGCGGGGCTAGGCCAGCTGTCGCAGCCCGCAGCCGGCCGGGAAGGGGCGCGGTGGGCTCCCGCCTTTGTTACCCCGGGTGGTACCGTCCAGGAGGAGAAAGCAGCCAGCTCCACGGCTGGGAAGGGCCAAGGGGAGGGCAGCCACGGGAGGATCTCTAAGCACAGAGGAGTTTGAGATGCTTTGGGGTTGAGAGATCTGGGAACTGGGAAGGGAGGGAGTTCCCGGTGAGTGGAATGAGGGCATTCCGTAGGGGTCTCCTTTCCTAAGAGCCCAGCTTGGCCACCAGGCCCCCTCCCAGCCCCAGCCCGATGCTTCTGCTCTGGAATCGGCGTCCTAGGGGATGAGTGGAGGACAAACCACAGACATCGCAGCGGGATTGCACAACTTTACAGGACTCTGTTGGTCTAGGGAGGTCTCCACTTCTTTCCACCAGATTCTCGGTCTCCTGGGTCCCTAACGCTACCCGCCAAGAATTCTCCATTTCGGCCCCCGAGACGCAGGCGCACGGCTCTCTGGTGCCCCCTGCTGGGGCGAGGCGGTCTCTTCGAGGAACCTGACCCCGGGCCGAACGGTCCAGACGCATCTGCACACAACTGGAGGACACAGATCCGCAGGCGGTGGAACACACGAGCTCATATTCAGAAGCACACTGTGCACAGCCCGGGAGTCCTTCATACGCTCAAACACACATGTGCACAGGCAAACGCACAGTCTAAAAGTAAAGAGCCGTAGCCAACCCAGAGAAATAGGAATATAAGCACAAAGACATTAGGAGAGCCACACGCCAGTGCGCAGACACATAAGGGCTTTTCATTTCTCATTCATTAATCACGCATTCCACAGATATTTCTTTAGGGCCTGCTTGTGCTGCGCTCACAATTCTAGGCCTTGGAGATACAACAATGGGAAAAAATTTTAAAAAAAGAAGGCTCAGTCCCTCTTTCCTAGAGTTCCATTCTGGAGGGGAGGCAGGACAGTTTTTACTGCCTCTCTCTATTTAAATATATATAAAATATAAACTGTACCAAGTTGCAGTAGATGCTGTGAGAGACAAACGGTAACAAGGGAAAACTGCTCTGCTAAAGCACCATTTGCGCAGGGACCTGAAGGAATCGAGGGATTCAGGTATCTGAGGGGAAAAAAACAGCAGGTAGGTGGCAACAGCCAGTGCAAAAGCCCTGAGGTAGAGGTGTTCTTGGAGTATCAGTGAGACTGCCTTTTCTCCTTCTCACTCTGCATAAAGGTGCACAGTAGGGAGGGCCAGGGTGATAGCTATTTAGGACGATGTTGAGAAGAAAAAGTCCAAAAATGAGGGAAGAGAATATTCTTAGCTTAGAGCTTCTTACCCACCTTCTTCCGGCTTCTGTTCAGGTTTGATGGTGATTCTTAGTGTGAGCAGGGACTCGGTTATCAAAACTTATCTCTTTATTACCTTGAAACCCTAGCAGCAGCAGAACGAAACTTCTCAGTTCCTCAACAGCCAAAGCAGTCACCTCACCCGTCTTGCCCAGTCCCTTAACTTTCCTTCTGCCTCTCTTTAATCTCAGATCCTCACCAGCTCTGCTCATACGTAGCAAACACACTTCTCCAAAATCCCCTCCACATAAGCCATTCAACATCCCCGATTCTGGAGCTGAAGACCCCAACTCCAGTCAGTGGTCCTCAACACCAGCTGTGTATCATAATCTCCTGAGAAGCTTTTTAAAAACGCCGGTGCCTTGGCCTCACTTCCAAAGACTGTTCTAGAGTGAAGCCCCAAGCACTGGTATTTTTAAACATCTCCCCAGGTAATCCTAATGGGCAGCCAGGGTTGAGAACCACCGAGCTCAGCAAGGCCCTGCTCCCTGGGCATCGCCCCCACAAGCCTGCCTTCATGGGTGCCTGCCTGCCACCCATGGGGGTGCCTGCCCTACCCGCCAGCCGTGTTACTGAGAGCCAGTCCTGCAACACGTCCCCTCCTGCAACTCCCCAGCCTTTGCTCCGTTCTCCTCTCTCTGGCACCAATGTTCACAATTCTACTTAAATTAACTGAGTCTACTAGAGTCTAATCACATAACTCTCATCAAACTGGGGGCATCCTGGGCCTGAGTCCCCAGTAACCAGTGGATGCTCCCAAAGGCAAAGCCTGTGTCTTTTCCATCAGACCAGACATACCTCCCCAGGACAGAATATCTGCCTCCCCTATCAAACTTGGGGCCCCTTGGGGGCAAGGGCTGTGCATGCCCCCTCAGGCTGCAACTTCCTGAGGGCAAGTTGGGGAGCCCCTCTCCCCATCAGAGGGACAGCAGAGTTGTTGAGAACACAGCACATGGATCCAGAAACCAACCGGAGGGGATCCTCATCCAGGTTCGGTCCCTTACTTTCTGCATGACCTTGGCAGTTTATTTACCTAACCTCCCAGTCCTTGGTTTCTTCATCTGAAAACAGGGACGGGAGCACTTCCTGTGGGGGGAGGTGTGAGGATTAAGTGGGTCAGTATTCTGCAGCTCTTGGTGCTAGGCACATAGTGAGCAGGAAATGCTAGCTGTGATTATTTTCTCCGTGGGAGCTCCCCAATGCAGGGACTTCCGAACCCTCCTCCTGCTGGAATTGTCTCCGTCCTCGTCCTCGGGCACAGGGCCCTGCCCAGACAGAGGTGTGCATGCCTGGAGGCAGAGGGAGTAATCCCTGAGGACACCTTCACCCAGAAAAAGGAGAGAAGCAGCCAAAGGTTATATATGGAGTTAAGAGAAATATTAATAATTTTTTGAGCACAAAAGCAAAAAGATCAAGAGGTCAGAGAGTGAGCAGGAGGGCAATTTATGACCATCCGCAGGAGAAGCCACCCTGAGAGACAGAAATGAATTCTTTGTCTCAATGAGGGCTAAGAACAGCAGAACAATTCTATAAATTGTCCTCTTTCCCCCAGAGGGGGCGGAGGATTGTGTTCCTGCTGCTTCGCAGAGATGCACGAGAGAAAGGCCAAGATCCTGATTTTCAGCCTGGAAAATAATCCTGGCCGCAAAGGAAACCCCGAGTCCCCAGAGCCAGAGGTCATCCTGTGTGCACCCTGCCGCAGAGATTGCAGCCCAGAGTGGTGAGCGAAGCCCTCCCGCTCTCAACTGCCCCCAGCACCCTGACTCTCCCCGTTCCTTCCCCCTGTCCTGTCTCCCCGCCCCTGTGGCTGCATAAAGCCTTCCAGATATCAGGCCTGGGGCTTTCCTGCTGCTATCCCAGCCCATTTTCCCTTGTTCTCATTCTCCTTAGATGCCCAGCTTTGGGGTCGTACAGGAATGAGAGCAGAGCGCCGGAGGACGGCCTCACTGGCCATGGGGAGAGACTCGATGGGCACCATGAGGGCAGCCGGGGGGCGCAGTAAGAAGAGGGGCCTCAGGGGTCCCGTGGGGAGCCGGACAAGGAGGTCAGGTCCTCGATGGAGCAAGGGTGTCAGCGAACCCCTGAGGGAGCAGTGGAAGGACTAAAGGCTAGACCCCAGAAGGGACTGTCTCCTGAGGAGCAGTGTCCACAGTATTTAGGGAGAGGTTTGGACAGGGGGAAGCTGCTTCCAGGCAGGGCTTAGGAAGGATGAGCTTGGCAGACACAGGCTCCCAGGGCGTGTTTCCCGTGTGCGAGACTCGAGTGTGAGCAGCGTGTCCCATTCCTTACCACCCATTCAGCCTCAGATCCTAGCTCCGACCTGGGGAGACAATTTGCACTCAATGGACCAGTTACCTCTTAGATGTAAGGAGGATTTCATGGCCTGAGGTCACAGGGATCGGAAGACCCCCTGCTTCAAGTGAGCAGCCCAGCCAAGACCAGCTCAGAGAAAGAGAAGAGGGTATGGGTTCAGGGCCAGGGGAGTGGGCGTGGGCGCAGGGAAGGGAGAGCAGGGAACAGACTCGTTAGGAAAAAACGGAAACAGTAATGTGAGCAAAGGCGCAAACATCCAGCCTCAAAGCCAGAAGGGCCTCGACGGCAGGGACTCCAACTCCCCTTGGAGACGGTGAGATGCTCCTTCAAGGCCACAAAGCAAGTCCCAGTGGGGCTGGGGGGGCCAGAGCCCAGGCCTCTGGCCTCTTAGGCCAGGGTTCACCCGTGTATCTTGCTCACTCCCATGCCTGCACCCCAGAACCACCCCAGATGCTTCGTCAGCAGAACCCCTAAAGTCCAAACAGCTCTGACCTCCTGAGTGTAGCTCCAGTGCCCTGTTGGGATCTGAAACAGGGAATCAAGGGAGCAGAAGGTGGGGGATCCCGAGGAGAAAGCGGGGGAGTCCCTCATCTTCCTTTGGCCCTTGGTTTTAGCTTCCTTGGGTCCTACTCCCAAGCCCACGACCTCCAAACCTTTAGCATTCCCCAGGGCTCCTTGGAAGATCTAAACCCCATTGTCAGATCTGTTTATACGGGACG